TGAGGGTCCATAGATTAGGTCGTGATCTGTCAAGGAAACATATCAGAAAAAATAAAAAAAATTGTTTTCACCGCGAAATATTCGCCGCGCCGATTTTTGCTGCAAATTTCATTTTTGAGGGCCGCCCGCACTCTGTACTACCGGTACCCATCGTGAAACTGCGTAGCGGTACCCCCAAGGTTTCTGACGTCAGGGGGAGAGAAATCATGTACATAAAATGTGGCAAGAACGGATAGATCGGTGTGAATGACGCCATCCATCAATACGTGACAACTTACCTGAAGATGGTTAAATAAAAAGGTGGATAGATCGCCACACACCATGCATCAATAAGCGTCCACACCTCCACATAAACATGTTGGCTTAGATAGGTAGCCTTGATCCTAGGAATCAAGGTTTCCGACTTCTGTATGGTCATCTGTGATGAAGATTCAATCATACAATATTCTTGTTTCTTGTACTCGTGTAAACCAGTGGGGCACACAAATTCCCAATTCCCTAGCTAATTAAAAATTAAAATTAAAAAAATCAGTCTGCAGCTGCAACATTGATTAACGAACACAAATTGGCAAATATAGACAAAAGGAAACTCGTTGGAATGAGACCATCATGCATGTAACACTCAGGCACAGATCCCGCATCACACCACACTCACAAAAGTCCAAAAGAGTCTATTGGCCGTCTTCTGTGCCCGAGTGTTTCATGGCCGCTTCTCTTTTGAGCGGTCATAGCTTCTCCTTTGTCAACACAACTTGGTCGTCTTCTCCGTCACCAGCGGCTATGGTGGCTCAACTCAGCATGCAGGTCTCTCTCTCTCTCTCTCTCTCTCTCTCTCTCTCTCTCTCTCTCTCTCTCTCTGTGTGTGTGTGTGTGTGTGTGTGTGTGTGCCTCTCACCTGCCTCTCATCTCACAGGCCACTCTGGTCACTCTGTGAATGTCCTCCAGTGAAGCTGTGTCTCTCTCTCACACAATTCAGCTATGGCGCCCGGGTGCCGTTGATTCTGCTCTACTCTCCCTCTCAGTCGCCTGTCCAACGCACAAAACTGCAGCACCACTCCGCATTGAGTGCGAAGCATCTGGAGTTGACTTCCAGGTGCTGCTAGACTTTTATACTTGTTGATCCGCATTCCAGACATCTTCTGCTGGTTATGGGTTGGTCCCCTTGCCTTTGTTTGCTGCTTCTGGAAGCTTACGGACTCTCCTTGGATCTGGCTGCTTGGGTGGATTGACTGACACCTGGCCTAACGACTCCGGTGATCTTCGCTGAGGTTTCCGGTGCCTTCTAAAGGTACTCTCTTCAACCCATAACTGTTATCTAACAGGGACTTCCTACCACAATCTACTTGACTAGCCTGCCTAGGCTTCCGCAATCATGGTACAAACGAAAACTGCTCTTCTAGAGTATTCGTGAATATTGTACAAGTGGCTGGAACCACTAACGGAACACGGAATGGGACTTGGGACCGGGACCTGGGACTTGGGACTGGGACCTGCAACTCAGGACTAGGACCTGGGACTTGAGACTGGGACTCGGGACTGGGACTGGGCTCGGGACTGAACCAGGGGTACTGAGATTCGTGAATCGGTCACTTATGCATGATGTTTGATTAATGTCCCTATAAACGAATAGTAAGCCGTCCCCAGTTGTGGACGCATGCAGACATAGATAGGCATAGAGACAAATAGATGTGGCCAGTTCTGGAGATAGCATATATCGAATGGATACAAAGGGATTGAAGAAAGACCCACACTGAAGTGTTTCTTGATATGCATTGATGCGGATGGATAGATGTAGGACCTCGGACTTGGGACTGGGACCTGCAACTCAGGACTAGGACCTGGGACTTGAGACTGGGACTCGGGACTGGGATTGGGCTCGGGACTGAACCAGGGGTACTGAGATTCGTGAATCGGTCACTTATGCATGATGTTTGATTAATGTCCCTATAGACGAATAGTAAGCCGTCCCCAGCTGTGGACGCATGCAGACATAGATAGGCATAGAGACAAATAGATGTAGCCAGTTCTGGAGATAGCATATATCGAATGGATACAAAGGGATTGAAGAAAGACCCACACTGAAGTCTTTCTTGATATGCATTGATGCGGATGGATAGATGTAGGTAGATATAGTCAGGTAGATGTAGATATGTGAGTCTAGAAAGGCGGGTGCCAATGGAAAAGGGGCAGAGGTAAGGACAATTCAGTTTTTGGCCCGTTGGTCAGGAGCTGAAAATGGGGGCCTCCCGTTCACCAATAGTGGATAAGAAGGTATATGGATAAAAATAAGTAGATGCAGATAGATTGACTAAGTGATCGGGGCCTCAATGAAGGAGTATACATACAGAGAGATGGGCGGGGATTTACATGGGTGCACTCACGTACATCAGCGACGGTTGCCGGTAGATGGACAACAACAGCAGACCGTAATTGGATGTGTAAGGGTCATAACGTCCAGATGGACAACTTACAGACTCTTTGTGTGGGCAGATTCAAAAAAAAAAAAAGGGTCCGTAAAACAAATGAGAGCATGCAAAACCTACTCATGTAACTCGTCCCGGAAAAAACCCTTACAAATCGAGATATTTTCTCTTTGATATATACAAACAAACTACTTCTGCTGCATGACCACATTCAAAGGGCAATCATACCAACTGGCCTGGATCACTTGGTACACCCCTGAGTTGTCAAAGTACACACCTGAGTTCCAACTACACTGGAAGCAGATGAGTAAAATACTACAAGCTCTGAATTACCTAGGGCCGGCCAATTCGATGATGATATCTTAAGGCCTGTCGTCCTTTGTGTAATGACCCCCCATAACACAGACTGAGAACACTGCTGATTTCTGAAGTTCTGCCGATGGAATGGATGCCTTGCTGAGATTCCCGCATTCTGCTGTGTTTCTAAGTCTGTATGTGTGCGTGCCTGTGGACTTGCGTGCCTGTCTGAGTGCTTGTCGGCATGAGTGTGTGTGTGACCCGCAAGGGTACTTGCTTGTTTGGCAGGCCCGTAGGGCCGGTACTTACCTGTGGCCGTGGCATTGAGGGTTGCAGCAGGGAAAACACTCGAGTAGCGGAGCCAGGGACCCGCAGTGCTTAGAGCAGCGGAAAAACACTGAAGTAGCACCGGGTACTCGAGGCCGAGCAGAAGAAGACAAAGTTGGCATTTTTAGAGGCCCAGTAGCGGTAGGCTAGGTCTAGGCCAGTACCAGTCCATCCAGTCTGAGTCTAGAGCCTGTACGGGCAAATATCAGAGTCTGCAATGATGTTTCCCTCCGAAAAGGGAGGAGGTACCGGTTGCTTGGGAGGCCAAGCGGCCTGGAAGTCACCGCCCAGGAGGCAAGCAGGCCGCTATATCAAGAGGCCGAGGCAAGAGCTCGGCCTCATTCTTCAGTGTGCAAGTTTGGCGACACGCTGCTGGAGCGCTGGCTGAAGTGGCGCTGGGTACTACAGCGCTGCTGGGAGGAAGAAGCCGGGAGCTTCCACCTCAGCTATGGTGGAGCTCGAGGTGGAAGCTCTACCGGTAGGAGGAGGAGGGAAAAGGGGACCAAGAAGGAGAGTGGTGGGGTACTTACCTGGCTATGGTAGACACCATCTTCATCACCTTGTTAGGCGCTGCATCTGGAAGGCCCCAGTGGGGGTAGTGCCGCATCAAGGAAGCTCGGGACAGAGTCAGGCATGGCGGTTGAGTGGGCAGCGGCATAGCTGCATGGAGTTGACCTGGGGACAGAAGGGCAGCGGCATAGCTGCTTTGGGTTGTCCTTTGGACAGGAGGGAGAGCCCTCAGTACTCCACCATAGCCTCCACCTGTATGTAGAGGAAGAGGAAGGGTGGCCATGGCTATGGTGGACCTCATGTTGTGTCTGCAGTAGAAGTGGGATTCGGACATTGATTCTGGTTCAGCCATTCAACACATTATTATTGTTAATAAGGAGGAGGAGATTGGTTGGCGAGGAAGAAGAGCCTTGTCATTGGTCTATGCTGGAGTACATCATCTTCTTCTTCTTTCTTACTTCTTCTTCTCCTTCTTTCCGTCTCTCTCCTCTCAAGTTCATTCATTTCTTTTTGCAATTGGACGGCATTGTACTTTCTGATGTTTGCATACTTTGAAATTGGCCAGGATCGTAACATTTGAAAAGAAAAGAAAAGGGCAATCACCAAAAGTTCAATAATTGAAGGGTAGACACAAGCACACAGATAGGCACACAAGAGACAAGTAGATAGAGACACAAGGCCTCGCCACACGGCGCACGAAACGAAAACGAAACAAGTGCATCTGCCCACAAAAGGTGGCAGAATACAGTCTTTACTATTTTTAGCAAAAAATGATGAACCTGTCCATTTTCTGTGGGAAGATGCACTCGTTTCGTTTTCCATTTCGTGTGCCGTGCGGCGACACCAACAAGCTGGAAAAGCATATTACGGACGGACAATCCGCGTCCCAGATGGGCAAAACATCCTTCACGGCATTCACACGAGGTAAACAACCTTCATTATTCAAACTGGAGGTAAACGACCTTCATGCGAGGTAAACAACCTCGATGACAGGGGACGTTGGACCCAGTTTCCAACCGGTGGAAGCTCTCCACGGATAGACTGGAGGTATCAGACAGTGCAGACTGCAACTCGGGAGGAGCTCGTATTGTCTGCTGAGCAGCTGTCTGTCTCTGATTCTTTAAACCACCACCAACTTTCCGAGGCGAAGTCTAAATCGAAAATATACCCTATAGGTCCTGTACCGCATTCATCAAAGGCCAGGCGCCGCCACACCAAAATGACTGGTGGCGCCAGCAACAACAAAAGAAAAAAGGTTGTGCTGGCACTTCGGCAAAGCTTTGCACACACTTCTTTTTCGGCCTCGGAAAAAAGAGCCTCGGAGGTAGTGGTGGTGGTTTAAATTTAAAAAAGATAAAAATTAAATAAATCATGAAGGTTGTTTATCGGAACTGTATTCCCCACAAGACATGGAGCTTTATGATCAAAGGGATAAATAAACAACCTTTATGTGAAGACGCCGAGGAGGTAACAATAATAGTTATTATTACTAATAATAAAGTATGAAGCTTTATTGTGAAGAGGTTCATGCGAGGAAGACCAGAACCTATAATAATAAGCTTTCTCTTGGTAATACGAATTGGAGGGTTACCTTCATTCGCTCGTAAGCCTCCATAGGAGTCATCTTCAGCTCCGTGATGAGACGGTCAACCTTATTAATGACTAAGCAAGGCTTCACCCTCTCCTCCCAAGCCTGCCGGAGGACCGCGTGCGTCTGCACCAGCACTCCTTCGCAAACATCCACCAACACCAATGCCCCGTCGCTCAGCCTCGCTGCCGTCGACACCTCGCTACAGAAATCCACGTGTCCAGGCGAATCGATTAAATTGACCAGGTACGCAGGAAGATCGGGGCGGCTAGCACCACCACTGCGGCTCAACCCCCCAGCAGCCGCAGCGGCACTCTTCTTTGGCTTAAACAGCAGCGAAATGGAACTGCTCTTCATCGTGATGCAGCGTAGCTGCTCCTCGTCTCGATAATCGAGATACCGAAGTTTGCCCACCAGCTTGGGATGAATGAGACCGTTGGACGCAATCAGACTGTCGGACAGCGTCGTCTTGCCATGATCTACGTGTGCCATCACACAAATGTTCCGGATCGCGCGTGGCTGCGTCTGGAGCGCAGCCAGCTCATGGACTGCCACAGTGCTACCCATGGTCGGTGCACGCTCAGCCACCCTGCCTCCCTTCTCTTCACTGCCTTGCCCTCCCTATTCCCTTCCTGCGCGGAAAGGAGAATCTCTTCTCCACTTTACCCAGCGTTCTTCAACCTCTTCTTCTCTCTTGCCGACGTTACGAAGTTAAAACATCGCACTATCATCCTGCAGTGGCACAATCTCCGCTAATGCCTGCAAACAATATGAATAAAAAAGCATAAATAAAAACACCGAGAACATGAATTGTTTCAATAGTAGATGCATCATGACCTGAACCACACAGCCCCAGACAAAGGGCTATTTCTTTTCTTCTCTTCTCTTCTCTTTTCTTTCTGAAAAGACCGACAGCCTTGATACATCATCGTCAAACTAACAGCCCCCGGGTGATTCAGAATGACTCTAAGCTGTTCATCTGATTGCCTCTGGACTCGAACTCCAGTATGTATCCAGACTACTCAAGACTCCCTAACAAACAGACACATGTAGTAAAGCCAAACTCATGAGAGACCGACAATATCAGAATCACGTCACACTCACACAATGTACTCTCAGATTGCAATAGCAAGTGTCCAGAAAACTAGCTTCAACAATTAATTATTAATCATGAATACAAGTCTTTGGCTCGTCCAATCCCCCTTTGGCATTGGGACCTCTCCCACTGGACTCGCCACCTAAGCAACCTATCCCACTATTGTTGTTGTCACCAACGAAATTTCTCCGCGCGGTCACCTCCTACAGGCAGGCTCAACCTGGAGGACGAAGAGCAGCTATGGAGGTTGGCGTTCATCGCCAGCAGTCTTCAGGAGACATCCTCTCTCTTCGATCTCCGGCAGGAACAGGTCAGTCAGGTAACTCTCTGTCACTGCACAGTCTCTTCATCTCCCGCAGGAACAGGTAAGTCAGGTAAGCCTCTCCCTCTCTGTCACTACACAGTCTCGTCGATCTCTGGCAGGAACAGATAAGCCAGGTAAGCCTCTCCCTCTCTGTCACTACAGAGGTCTTGATCACCCTCTCTCTATGCTACAGGCTATGGCGCTGGGCTCCCCTATCTGGCTATGTGATGCATACTCAGAATAATCCGAGTGATGCAAATGGAGTCAAAGGATCACAAAGTGATGACAAGGACTCGAATGGACAATGCAGCGTCAGCGGAGCATCAACAAGCAATGTACATCCATATACATACACAAATGGCACAATGTAGCGCAGTGGAAGACTCAAAAGCATAACCTGACCAGTCTGGACTGACTTGACACAACCCATCAGACACCACACATGCGAGAGAGAAGGGAGGGACCGCATACACAGGAGACAGGTCCCTCCTTGAGCACGCACATGGGGTGAAACCACGGATGAGGGGATGAACGAAAAGCAAGATGAAGATGGAGATGAGGGAGACGACCAACGTCGCAATAGCGCAGTCCAAAAATAGTCTCCCTGTCGAATGTCCACTCAATGTCTGCCCCTGCAATGTCGAATCAGCTCCTGGGCCCCATAGCCCGACATAACATCTGCCTGTTACCTCTCTCTCTCTCTCTCTCTCTCACGCACGCGGGGGGGGACTCTCCCTCTGTGTGTGCATCAGATACCTATGGATATGTGCAGGCTCACAACTACGAGGCCAAGCAGTAGATCGGCTTCACTGCGCGACGAACGAACTGACGCATTTGTCCAGAATTAGGGAACTACCTTCTTCACCTGAATACAACATACGGTCATTATCGCTGTATTCGGGGTACCTTTCAGTCTAAATACAGCAATAATGGCCGAACGTTTTTTTTTTTTTTTTAAGAAAGGGCGACGGCCTTGAGAGATATCATCTACCAACTGACCGGCCCACGGTAATTCAGAATCGCAGTATTTAACTCAGCTGCTTCCAGTGCAGTTTGAACTCAAGTCCGTATTTCAACAGTTCGGGGATGTACCAACTGAGCTACGCCAGGGTGAAGAAGCTAGCTGACAAGAGACAGTTGAAAGTTCGATGATAAGCAAGAAGGGAGAAAGCGGCAAGTTACTCAGCCAGGATTTGTCCCTTGTTTGCCTCTTCTCGTTTTTCTCTTCCTGGTGAATCACACATGATGTGTGCACCTCTGGGAAGGAGCGTGAGGTGGATGACACATCATGGAAGTTTTTTTTTTCAGCTGCCCTCAGGTAAGAATATCTCAGAAGGAGACGAGAAATAATCAGCAAGAGAAAGCACGACTGCGATAGCATGCAGTCCTTTCACAGCAATGGGACAGGCAACCAATCAGTCATGCCTGCCGTGCTTGCAAGATGACGGAACTCGTACTGATTGATTGATTGATTGCTTCAGTCAGGCCTGACTGATAATCATACTGATTGATTGATTGATTGATTGCTTTAGTCAGGCCTCACTGCATGCCGTCCTTTCAAAGCAATGGGACAGGCAACCAATCAGTCATGCCTGCCGCGTTTGCATGATGACGCAACTTGTACTGATTGATTGATTGATTACTTCAGTCAGGCCTGGCTGATTATCATACTGATTGATTGATTGATTGATTGATTGATTGCTTTAGTCACGCCTCATTGATAATCATACTGATTGATTGATTGATTAATTGATTGATTGATTGATTGCTTCAGTCAGGCCTGATTGATTGCTTCGGTCAGGCCTGACTGATAATCAGACTGGCTGACTGATTGATTGACTCAGTCAGGCATGACGGATAATCCTACTGATTGATTGATTGATTGCTTTAGTCAGGCCTGACTTATAATCATACTGATTGATTGCTTGCTTGCTTGATTGATTGATTGATTGATTGATTGATTGATTGATCCAGTCAGGCATGACTGATAATCCTACTGATTGATTGATTGATTGCTTCAGTCAGGCATGACTGATAATCCTACTGATTGATTGATTGATTGCTGCAGTCAGGCATGAACCACAACTCATTGTGTGATAATCGTCGGCATAATCATTTCTTTGAGGGGTGTTCGGTGCTCCCCTCTAATTTGCCCATTTCTTTGGAAAAGAAAGGGGGGGGGGAGAGGACAGTATTCACGTGAAAGGGGGAGAGACGGGGGCGAACGCACGGGATTTTTTAATTTGCTTTTCAAAGAAGGGAAAAAGAAAAGACTACCAGAAGTCTAACAGCCCTCACCTAGGGCCTCGCTCCACTGCTCTCACCAAAATGAGCAAAATGAGAATGAATCTTCCGCTAAAAAATGGGTAGATACGCCGACATATTTCTCGTCTTTTGTGCATGTGGTGACTAGTGGAGCGAAGTCAAACGGCCCTCACTTAGGGCCTCGCTCCACTACTCTCACCAAATCTGCAATATGAGAATGGATCTCTCGTCTTTTGTGCATGTGGTGACCCTTTATGTTTCTCTCGCATGGTATTCCTTGCTCCGATTTGACATGTCATCACACTTCTTTTTCTTTTATTTAAGGGAAAATTCCATCGGTACCCCACTTAAAGATGGGAATACCCGCTATACCCAGTCCCAGCCCCGACTTCCATCTATAACCGGAGGGCTCAACTTTGCATAGTACCCAGCTTTTCCCCTGTGCGAAATTCTAGGGGTACCCAGCTTTTCCCCTGTGCGAAATTCTAGGGGTACCCAATCCCGCAGGCCGTGGATTCAGAGCACGAAATTATGCTCATGCCCACCGAGCAGACCTTTGTGGCCCAACGGCTGCATGCTATGAGCATAATTTCAGCCATCCGGTAGCAGGGCATATGAACAATTTGGCCTCCTCTCCTCCTCAGGTCCCGGGTATGCCCATAATTTTCCCTGGGTGTCCATAATTTGTGCATTCCTGTAGTTCGTTATAACCGCGATACCATTCGCGGTTCCATTCGCCGTACCATACCAACCTGGGTCCACCTCGGTCCTGGGCATGCAATCAATCTCCACCAGCCCTTTTCTGGGTATCGATCCAAGTTGCACCTGGGACTGGGTATAGCCGTATTCCCATCTTTAAGTGAGGTACAGATGCAATTTTCCCTTGGTGGACCTGGGCATGCAAACAATCTCCACCAGCCCTTTTCTGGGTATCGATCCAAGTTGCACCTGGGGCTGGGTATACGTATTCCCATCTTTAAGTGGGGTACAGATGCAAATTTCCCTTCCCTACACTATTAAAATCGCTAAGGGAACCAATCTCTGATCCAGGCCGTCGTTGGTCCTACCGGCCCACGGCCTGGATCGTCGGAAACTCGTTTTTTCTTTTTTTTAACTACACTGTATTCTTCCTCTCTCAGTCAGAGGTTGACATCGCAGTCTTTTTTCTTTCCATGGAAGGCCGTGCCCAGAGGTGTCAGCACTCTACATGCATTCCGGGACCTCAACAGTTCGCAGGGTGTACTATCTATTCCGTACATACGGGCCATTCCGTACATACGGACTATTCCGTACATAAGGGCTATTCCGTACATACGGGCTGGGGAGGGGGGGGGGCCTGGGTTTAGGGACTCTTTTCGGTTTTTCGTTTTTCTTTTTTAAACCACTGTAGTACTCCTCGAGTCGTGCCCAACGCGCCACGATTTCAGGAAACGTACGGGCCACTACAGGAGTGCCCAAATTCATCCGAGTAGAAACGTTTCTACTCTATTTTTTGTTTTCGGTCGGCCGATAGCTTGGCCAAGTACTGGTGGTTTTCCAAAACACATGCATTGTATCGCAAAAGAACAGAACAGAATTGAGGCCGAGGACCTCACAACTCAACCCGGATTACTGAGAGCATAAGGGTCAGATCCCACTAGGCCCTATTGTTCATTTCTGACCGTTCATCTTCGTAATCGAGCGTGGAAAATGAATAATCCAAGGTAGTGGGATCTGACCCTAACTCAGCTTCGCTCACTGGCTTCTTCTCAGAATGGCGAGAACCATTATTACCCGCACATGAGAACCTACTACTCGGTAAGATCCCCAACCTACCTTCTTCCCCCGAATACAACGTAAGGTCATTGTAGCTGTATCTGAGGCATCTTTCAGTATAGCTACAGCTATAATGACCGTACGTTGTATTCGGGGGAAGAAGGAAGAAGGTAGGTTCCCCATGTCATGAAACAAGGAAGTTTTCCTTGCTCCATGAAGGGATTTCGTTAGTTGCGAGCCCATCATCAAAAAAGAAAACAACAAACAAAAAAATGAA